AAGAGACCAATTGAATAATTGTAACCCTAGTTTGACTGATCGTATTGGAATTTTAGAATCGGAACTGAATCAGATTTATGACGAGAAAGCCTTTGGCGCACAAATCAGAGCCAGAGGAAAATGAGTTGAATTTGAAAAATAGATGCATATTTTTTGGGACTGGCTTGAAAAGCAAAGACAAATTAAGAAATCGATGAATAAATTATTTGATGAAAAAAAAACAATGTTGTAAAATATCAAAGAAAGATATTATTTGAAATTAAAAATTATCATGAAAAACTATTTTCATCACGAGATCTGATACATTATCCCAAGAATACATTAACAATACAAAATTAGAAAAAAAATTAAATGATGAAGAAAAGTTAAAATTATGGGTGGTGGTTCAGTTCAGAATATTTCTGAGGCAACAAATAACATGAAATTGAATAAGTCTCCTAGGCTTGACGGTCTGACTGTAGAATTTTACAAAATGTTTTAGGAGAAGCTTAAATATGTATTTGTTAATGTATATAATAAGATTTCATTGATTAAACGTCGATCTTAAAATTCTGTCCTATGTATTAGCTCAACGACTGAAAAAGCTCTACCAAAACTCTTAAACACAGCTCAATCTGGATACATAGAAATAGATTTATCGGATTCAATTTAAGACAAATGCACGACATTATAGATTATGCAGACATATATATAATAGAACGAGGTATCTGAACCGTTGATTGAAAATGATGTTGGTACCAGTAATCAACTAATAAATCTTTAGTATAACTCAGTGTAAGGCATATTAACATTATTATGATGAAATAAAATAAAACAACTGCTATACTTTTTAATAGATTCTTCTTGTTCAAATTGCAAAACCTTGACAGCTTATGGGGAAAAGGGGGGGGGGGGGGGGGGCTGTGCCCTAAACCCCCTGTCTGGTAATAACAGAAGGCAAGCTACGCCACTGAATGTCTTAGATCAGAGAATTCTGTTAGAAGTAGAGTAGAGTCAATGTAAATAGACAATGTTGTCAATAAGTGGCAATTATATTGACATTTCTTTTTTGTCAAATTAGTTACTTTATAACAAATTGATAAAGAAAACAATTGAATTTATTACCATTACAAACAGAATTTCATTTGAAATAATTGTACAGTTTTAATTTTTTTGTTATTTAGAAGAAAATAAAATGAGATGTATAGATGGAAACTTTTACAGAAGGTAACCAACAATGATTTATGTAACAAAGGTTTTACTGAAGAAGATTATAATCATTATTTTATATCATGTTCCTTTTTGAACAATTTTTGGAGAAAAAAAATCATAATTTATTGCAAAAAGTAAATATAGAAAAAGCTATTACATTAAAAGATCCTGTTTTTGGCTATAAAATAAACAATTTTGGCTTTAACTACCTTATTACTATTATTGTTTTTTTTAATTTATAAATCATACTATTAATCTGATCAGAAAACGAAAGGATTAGATGTATTTCATCTATTCATTAGAGAATTTACAAAAAGAATGCACTATGATAGAAAGTTGGAAGAAGTTTTTATTGTTAATGTAAAAACATTTATTAGATTTATGCTTTATGCTTTATCATTTATTATTATTTTTATGGGGGGGGGGGGGGGGGGGGGGGGGGGGAGGCTAGGATTAAAAATGTTGTCCTGCATTTTTTTTTCAGTTGTAATCTCTGTCCTGCCTTTTTATTTTTCATTCTATTCGGTCCTGCCTATTTTTATTGGTTTATCCTGACTTTTTTAACATAAATTCTCATCCTACCTTTTTGTTTTTACTCAAAACTCCTGTCCTGCGTTTTTTTTTCAAATTTCATCCTAGCCCCCTCCCCCATAAAAATCAAATGGTAGCTCCCTAAACAGTTTGTTCTTGTGTTGTGCTTTTCACCGTTGTCTTGGGTAAGAGGGAGGGATGAGCGCTTACAAAATTTTTAACCCCATGTCTCATTCTGTATGTGTCTGCTCCAAGTCAGAGGTCTGTTACTCAGTGGTTCTCATTGGTTGCTGTCTGTTATGTTTGTTTTTGATCTATTGTTTTGCGATAAATCAGGCGTTGGTTTTTTGTTTGAATTGTTTCACATTTTTCACAGAATTTGGCATGATTGTTTTTCAAGGAGAAATTTTATCTCCCATTGAATGAACTCCACAGAGAACAATAGGTATTATATTAAATCAATGGAAGAGTACACTTTGCAAATTTCAAATGGTCAGGTAAACTCCAACTGATTCTGGGGAAAGGTTTCATTTCCTTCACGATGAAATGGATCATTCTTTCAACAATTCAAATATTCCATACAAGTTTTATGAATTTGTATCAAAGTATTATCCTGCTTTTGTAGAACATGTGATGAACAGATGGACAGACAGACAGACAACGGTATACCAAAATGCATTTCATCTATGACAGGCATAAACAAGGATAACAGGAATCACCAATATACTGTACAGTACAACAAAGATATACAACAACAAACAACACATGGTCCAGATAGCCTGACACGGTACAGGCACAGTACTAATAGTCTATGATGGTGTTATACCACTTACTTGTAAAACCTTTCCCATTACCCATGCATAAAACACACACAGTCCAGCTCCCAAAAGGATGATCACCTTACATGAAGAAGGAAATAAAATACTGCACATAATTTTGAAAGCAAAGTTAAAATGTGCTCGCTCCAACAGGAAGATAGCTATGGTAGCTGCTGCTGGTGGTTGAATACTGCAGCTCAAAATAATAATGCAGACACAACACTCCTAACAGGTTTCATGAAGTCTCATCTTAAAATTTAATTGAAATCTGCAGCATTTGTGAGAGGCCTGTAAGTATTCACAAGACTGCATATGCTGAAATGTCTCTTCTATCTTGATTTAACTTTTGTTGAAAGACTGTAATATGTTTTACTGCCAGACAGACATGTATACCTTAAAATTATACCATACACCAAATATAGTTAGCCAAGTTGCTTATTGCATCCGAGTAACAGACCTTATAATGAAAAATTGAACATTGACCAATTAATCATAAAAATGAGGTCAGATGGCACTTACACTTTGCAATCATTCTGTACACCAAATATAGTTTACCTATTGCTTATAGTATTGGATAAACTAACAAAACCATGAAGACTTGTAAAATTGACCAATGCACCATGAAAATGAGGTTAATAGATATAAGATGTGGTATGAGTGCCAATGAGACAACTCTCCATCCAGGTCACAATTTGTAAAAATTAACCATTAAAGGTCAAAGTACGGCCTTCAACACGGAGTTCATATGAAAGCTGCTAGACAGACATGTATACCTTACAATCATTTCATACACCAAATATACTGGCCTTATTAACTGATCCATGAAATGAGGTTGAGGTCAGGTGAACCCTATCTGACAGACATGTAGACCTTGCAAGGAACCCATATACCAAATAAAGTTATCCTATTACTGCATAATAAGTGAGTATTTCACACGACCAACAAAGTACTTATTTTTATCAAGCAGTTGCTGAACCATGAAAATGAGGTCAAGGACAATGGACATACGACAGAAGGAAACTTCTTAACATAAAGCATCTGCAAACAAGGCATGAAGCATCCAGGTCCATTACCTTCTAAAATATAAAACTTTATACTAATAGTTTACACCACAGCTGGATAGTTATCCCTATGTCTCAAATTCTGAAAATTGTCAGACCATCAAAAGAAAGAACCATTTAAACTGAATACAATAGTATATCATGCCTGCTCTTGCTGTTGAAAGATGTTTGAAGTTTCCTGAATTAATATATATCATTTTTCATTGTGTTAATTCTATTTACAACATTACAATAGAAAGCAGGGTGTGAAATACAATCTAATATCATTTTTTACTGTGAACTGTTACCTTTGAAATAAACTTGCAGGTGTGCAGTCAGTTCCCATAGGAATTTCAATATTTGATCATATTTCATCTAGCCATAACAAACAAAAATTTTGTAAAGCAAGAAATTTAAAGCCTTAATCAAGTCTGCAAATGAACATACATAAGTGTCTTCGTTGGTAAATCGAAACAGTGAAAGCATACAGAAAAGCTGGTGGTTTTGCTTATCCATTTTGTAAACTTAGCATTCAATGCAAAAACTTATAGAATCGACAAAATTATAGGTCAGCATCATAAGTGAATAGTTTCACCCTTTTGGCAATTGAATATATGCACTGATAAAATAAATATGTAGTTTTTCATAAAATATTTTTTTCTGCATTATTTTTATGTTTTATAAATCAGTTAAAACAATAATATCAACTTATTTTTATTTCAATACAAGAAAGGACAAAAATTCAAATATCTTGCCTGATGCTATATTTGAATGTTCAAAAAGGTCAACCAACTTTGCAATTCGGGTCAAGGTCAAATTAAACCATATGATGTACATAATATAGTTAATCTATATACCTAATCCAAAAACATAAACTTGTCTTCCAGAGAGTGAAAATGAGGACAAGGTCATATGTCATATATACCCTTCACAACAAATACAAAACCTAGTATTGTTGATCAGTCATTGTTTCTAAAGAACCAACCTAACCAATGCACCTGACCACTTGAGTGTAGAAATGATGCCAAGTTCAGAAGGCATAGGTCAGATGGACATATGCTCATTACAATAAATGTAGATACTGAATATTGTTACCAGAGAGATCAGTAACTAATTTCACAAAATTCTTACGATAAAAAATATTTGTAAGTCAAGAACATTTCAATATAACTTACGATCGATTTTATACGTAAGATTTTTTGGTGAAAAGAGCAACAGACTTATACTTTAATATCTAAGCCAATGAAAGGGTGGTCATGTATTTTGATTGACTGACAAGGCCAAACCATAAACTACCTCCATACAAATTTTAGTCAACCCAAATGAGAAAATTGATAAGACATTCAGATATTTGCAAGTTTTAACACTGTTCCATAACTCCATTGTTCACTGTTGTTCTGGCATGACAAAATTTGTTATATCAAGCAGATCAGTCCTTTTTCTTTATTTAGTATTGAGACAGCAAAATACAGATATAATCAATAACATGCAATATAATACTAACACACATGCTCACAATGCAAATTCATGTAAATGTATAATATTTTCCCTCTAAACATACATTTTATATATGTCATTTTCACAACAAACAGTCATATAATTATTATTATAAAAAGTTTTTCCTGAATAAAAATATTCTTACATCCTGCACAAGATATTTATATATGATTTTTTAATTCAAATGAATATAAAAATGTAACAGCACCTCTATGTAGCTACAAGTCACCAATGATGTATACAGCTAAAATTAAAAATTAAATTTACAGATGTGTAGTCATTTTGATTAGACAATGTACATGTCAAAATAGAGAGTTCTGTGTGCTTGTTTTTGAGATACAAACATTTTTAAAAACAAGAATTTTGGTAAGAAAAGGATAATTTTGCCTCTGTTTTTAAAAAAATGAAAGATATGGACAGAAATTAATTTTAAACTGTACAAAAAAGTTGTAGAAATAGAGTTTAAACAAGAGGCTCCAAAGAGCTTGAATCGCTCACCTGGTAAAAATGTGTCATTTTGATATTTAAACTGTATTGCAATCAGTTATGTTTGCTTATTTGTAAATCTTTATAAGTGGCATTTTTGTAGATCTTGTATTGATGATCATTTTTACTGTTTACTAATGATCATATTTACTGTTTACTGACAACCATATTTACTGTTTACTGATAAATCATTTTTTCTGTTAACTGTTAACCATATTTACTGTTTACAGATACCTATCTAATAGTACTATTATAGTTTTTGAAATAATTAGCAAAATTATAAAAATGAGTATAAGGAGTTGGTTGACAAGTTTGGCCATGCTTACTTATTTGGAAATCTTATTGTGCTGAACATTTTTGCTATTTAATGTTCCTCTCTATCTACTATAGTTTCAGTAAAAAACTCAATAAACTGTTGACACAGAGATATGTCCAGCCTATTTGTGATTTGGATAGTGCAAATGTTGAAATTAAAATAGCAATACTTTAACAAGTAAGTTATGCAAATATTCAAAGTCAATGAACCATGATTGAAGGTACAGGGTTAACAATCTCCATGGAAGTGAGATGTGCCAATGCTATTTCAACTGCATACCAAATACCATTGACTTTTTATAAGTTGTTCCTCTTAAGCAAACCTAAACACAAACATTAACTTGTAAATTAGGTAAAAGTTTCAAAGTCAGTGAACCATTATGAGGGAGTGGGGCTATATAATCTCAATGGAAATGAAACTTGCAAATGCCAATACATTTGCATATGGGCATACCAAATATCATTGACTTTACATTAGTGGTTCATCTTAAACTGACCTAATCACCAACTAATTCATGTAAACTAATCAAAAGTTTCAAAGTCAATAGACCATGACTGAGGGGTAAGGACCAAATATTCTCCATGGAAATGAGATGTGCTAATGCTTCTACAACTGCATACCAAATGTCATTGACCTACCACTAATGGTTCCCCGTAAACTGACCTAATCACAAACTAATACATGTAAACTAAGCAAAAGTTTCAAAGTCAATAGACCATGACTGAGGGGGTGGGGCCAAATAATCTCCATGGAAATGAGATATGCCAATACTTATACAACTGCATACCAAATATCATTGACCTACCACTAGTGGTTCCCCATAAACTGACCTAATCACAAACTAATACATGTAAACTAAGCAAAGTTTCAAAGTCAATAAACCATGACTGACTGAGAGGGCAAGGCCAAATAATCTCCATGGTAATGAGATGTGCCAATGCTAATACAACTGCATACCAAATATCATTGACCTACCACTAGTGGTTCACCATAAACTAGACCTAATCACAAACTAATACATTGTTGACTCCGCCTCCAAAAAATGGGTAAAAATCATCTTTCAAGGGCAACTCCTATAAGGGGTCAATTGACAATTTTGTCCAGATGTTGACTTATTCCTAAATCTTATTTTGCTGAACATTTTTATGATTGAGAGATTCTCTTTATCTTCTATAGTTTCCACAAAAAATGCAAAAAGGGTATAAAGCATTTTTCCAAGGCAATGACTTCTAATGGGTCAATTGGCAACTTCTGCCAAGTTAACTTATTTTTAGATCTTATTGTTCTGGTAATTTTTACTGTTTAAAATTTCTCTTTATCTGTTTTAGTTTGCAAGATAATTACTAAAAACTTAGAAATTTGCAAAGAATTGACATTTAATGTGCAATAATTCCAAAATGGGTTGTTCCAATTTTTTTCTTAAAATTTCACAGTAGATAGACCTTGACCTGATTCAATTTTTAAACTAAATTCACCAAGGAACATTCAGGTAAAGTTTGGTTGCATTTGGCCAAGTAGTCTCAGAGGAGAAGATTGGTAAAAAAACATTATGACACTAGATGGACGAACGACAACAACAGACGCCAAGTGATGGCAAAAGCTAAAAAGTATGCTTTTTTTCTAATATAATGATAAATTACAGATGTTGCTGTGCACAATTTTTCATTGCCTAACAAAAACCAGGAGTAACAACATATTAGGAAAAGTTGATTATATAATCCTTTTTACAAATACAAAACACACAACTATAAGCTTGATTATATAACTGCCTTTTCTAACTTTTTTCACACAGTTGCATCAATCTTCCATTCTGTTACTAAGCAATATTCTATATAACAACTATAATACATATGAACACATACATTGCATAATTCAAACTGTATGAACTTTCCATATATGTAAAATAAAAAGATGTGTGGTATAAGTCTATGTAACAACAACCCAACAACACAAATAACAAAAAAGACTTTCAATATATTGTCTTCTATAAAATAAAGGAAATTATTAAAAGTATCTAAAGGTACAAACTTCAGAAAAAAAGGTTCACACATAATGAACATGTGTACTCCTTGCTTAGATGCATCCTTACATAAAACTACACGGTTCTACATCTCTTACTTTATGTATATGAGAAATGAACTCAAACACAAACTTTAATACCGGTCAGTGAAGTGTAAAATGAAGGTCAGAGTTACCTCCTTTCAGGGAAATGCTGTTATACATTCCCTAGATGCATCCTTACAAGTCATATGAGAGCAAGTCACTCAGAATCTGAACATCACATAAAATATGATATGTCACTTAAGCATTAAATATAGGTCACAGTGACTTACCTTTTTCAGATATGTTTTTATACACCTTTAGTATTAGTGATCTGATCTTTAGAACCATATAGGTCAGTGAAGAACAAAATGTAAACCATACTGACCTACTTTTTGTGTAGGTCTGCTTTATTTATATACAAGAATAGTTGTCTGATCTGTATCTTTAATGATTGTGTCCTATTCCTGATAGTGACGTTTTGACTGAGTGTGGATTCCCATGACAGGTGATGCATGTATAGCAGGAGACGCTTACTCTGGCGACGCACCAGGTCAAGCTCCCTTTGGAGTTCATGCAATTCCATCAATTTTGTTTGTTATCTTAATTTGTAACCTTTCAATGGTTTTATGAGATTTGAACATTGGTAAACTACTGTCGCCTCGAATATACTACCACAGATGCACCGATTTATATGATGGGTAGTTATGTAGTATCTTAGATCTAAACTTGAATATGAACAATGCCAGTAAGGCATAAAATGGTTATAAGACTGATTTTCTTTTTTTGAGAAGCTGTAATACTTCCCTTTATGCATCCTTTCACCAATTTATACAATTAAAGTTCTCATATATTTTTACAGGAGTTAATTTTTGGGGGGTACAAAATGTTTTCAATATATTTACCGGTATTGTATAATGAGACAAATACACATATAAAAAAGTCATGTATTATGCACATCATTTTATTACTAAGAGAGACAACTAATAAAACTTAACTACATGGGTTTGGTTTTTTTTTATGCAAAATTATTTCTTTAAAACACAAAATCAAAGTGAACATGGAAAAATTAACATAATAAAAGTAAAGATCATAAAAGGAATATCTAAAATGTAATAGGTAAATCATATTCCTCGACTTCACTTCAAAAATCTTACAACATTTTTAGAATTAAATCTTAATAACATTTAAGAGTGTAAATATTATATGAGCTGCATTGGATAGAAATCGACCTTATGCAAATGATAATCTATACATCTATTAACCTATTTTGGGTTGAAAAATCTCTACAGGAAGTCTGTAACTAATTCAAAATTGAATTGTTAAAAGAACCCTACAAAACAGATCAAAATTCATCATTAATTTCGTATTTGAATGTTCCAAAATCAATCAAAGTCTTATACATGTGCATGTATACGTGCACTTGCATAAGGTTGATTTCTATCCGATGCAGCTCATATTATATTATATACATTTTTTATGCCAACAGAAATCATTGTAAATCTTAAATTAAATAAACAAGTTCTTAAATTTACATAAATCTATCAAAGGAAAAACAGAAATGCCAGAGAAAATACAATAAAAATAAATCATTTATCTTCTCTTTCTTTAAATAGTCTTATAACTTAAAAAGGGATACAAATATATCTAACACCATAAAGCTGTTATATTGACAGTAAACATTATTTTTTTATAATTATTTGTATAAACATATAAAAGTTGCTGTCATACCTAGTTTGTATATAGTTGTAGAAACTAAAAAAAAACCCACCTAAAACAAAAAATATGCTGCATTTTTTACCATGAGTAGATAAACAGTGATGCTCTTCACAAAAAATCTTTCAACTAAAATATACTGTAATCCATGTTACTATTTAGAAAAATTAAAGATATGTGTCCATCTTAGAAAAGTAGAAAATAAAATAAATAATTGATGTCATTTTATTTTTTTATGAAGAGACCCGCTGTAAATTGGATTTCCAACTCTATTTACAAAATGGCACATACGTGTTTGTCCATAAATATGACAGATAGAATCATATACAGGTCAAGGGATACCAATACATTTTGTAATTAACAACACTACATAAAAAAATGTTTATAAAAAAAGTAGAGGCTCTATAGAGGTTGTATTGCTTATATGGATCTATGTCCAATGTCATCGATGTTCACTTTTTAACCCTATAAAACCTATTCAGACTCCTAAACTTTGGCAGTAATTAGCCTGACTAATTCAACTATAAGTAACCATTGCCTATGGCAGTCAAGTTTTTCACCTGAAGGATATTTTTAACAATGGGCTTTTGGTTAAATGATGAAAATATCATTTCCATAAATTTCGATGGGAATCATTTTTTCATCATTGCTACTATATATGCAGGGGTTAAAAAAATTTGTTACAGCTCACTAGCCCAGGACTTATTGGTAGCAGGATTTTACTAGCCCTGTTGAAAGAGTTGCTAGCCCATCAAAACTGACCTGCTAGCCCGAGTATACCTTACAAATTCAGAGTGGGGTGTCCCTTGTTTTGAATGCGGCATTATATACGGTATTTGATAAAATAAATCAAATAAATTTTTGTTTTATTAATTATAACAAGGATCTCTAGACATCTTTTTGGATATCCCTTGTACTATGGGTTGTAATCATTGATCTTGTCATGTGAAACCAGTGGTTCAATTCGTATATTTGTTGTTCCCACATACAAAGCAGACGTTATTAGCGTGATCAGGAAAATAACGGCAATATTCACAAAACATCATCTCTTGTTTATCATCAGTAACAGTCGACCTTGCCCATGGGGAATCTTTCTGTCCATGACACTATAAATGTTTTTTTCCGCTTTTCCTGGTCGTATTTGGCATTTTTTGGGATAAATTTTCAGCCTCTTTACCCCCTTCATCTACAGTTTTTCGTTTTGAAACTGACAAAGTTCCTGTGGTGGCCATACTAAAATGTTTAGAAATAATTTGTGCATGGTTTCAAGCTCAAATTAACAGCTGTCCGACAAGACAGGTCAATATCGATCATTACATCATACACCCAAATACCATTAATTGAAAATCTCGGCATAAGCAATGTACAATACCCCCTGTACTGAGAAATTGATATTGAAAGTACGTGAATTGCGATCAATACATGATACTGGTCCACCCAGAGTTAGTTGTTCTATTTTTAAAACATGTACAAAATCGGTTCAAATTCTTGGAATCCCGGATGACGTAATTGAATCTGATTGGCTAAGATAGAATAGTGATGAGGGGATTTTCCACTTACTATTTTGGAAATGCCAAGAATTTTTTGTTACTAGTCCGTCGGGCATATTCGGTTACAAGTTTTAATTGCCCGAAGTGTAAAAGTCTAGTCCCGGGCGTCGGGCTAGTGGATTTTTTAACCCCTGATATGTCTTCCAATTTGCATTATATAATAAACCTCTTTAAAGGGTACTGATCATGATTCTTATCAAATTTATCAAGATTTGGCTAGTACTTTTACAAAGGAGAAAAAAATTGAAAATTTACCATTAAGAATCGTGAGAAGGCAATGTCTTTGCTTGATCAGATACAGTTTTATTAAAGTTCAGCGACTCTTTTCACAAAAAATCTTACGATTAAAATTGATCGTAAGTTATACTGAAATGTGTACGACTTACAAGTTTTTTTATTCTTAAGATTTTTTGTGAAAATAGTCACAGATCCTGTAAGCAATATGTGGACAAATCTTCAACATTGACCTTAATAAATTTGAGGTAAGTTTGGTTCAGATTGGCCATGTACATCTACAGTAAAAGATGGGAATAGGAACTCCCATATGGTTCAATGTACCTTTTAAATATATTGCAGCTGTGTGCTACCATTCAAATTTAAATCATGATTAATAGACAGTTGAATTCTCAGTTATCTTTTCCTTTATATGAAGTTTGAAATGATTTGGTTTTATGGATTCAGAGGAAATGTTAAAACTGACCATCCAGAATCATTAATTTCCAGTCAGAACCAAACTTTTTCATCTTATTAGAATTTTAATCAAGGTCGTTATATACATTTTTTCTGCCAATTTTCGTTATAAATTGGCTTTTGAAAGTTCAGAAGGGAAGTTTAAAATATGAAAAGTACAGATGACAGAGCCCAGTGATGGCATTAGCTTATACTGGCCATATGGACTAAGTGGTCTTAAACATGATATGGTTTACATGGAATCTTTAATATCTTTAAAATTGACCATACTGAACTTTCATCATCAAAGCTAAACAACACAATTTAAATTGCTTAATCTACAACCACATAACAATTATCATTTATCTAATGTCCTTTTATTTAGTAAATTATTTTTGTAATTTGGATTTTCAAATTTTTAAAGAGGCTTACTAAAAATTACGACACTGGATTGAAATTTTTCAGTAAGTAGATTTTTTTTTAAAGGGTATAGTATGATATTGAACATTATTTTTGTTAAAATTACTTATTTTACTTTGTATTAGTATTTTCTGGGTGAAATTGTTGACAAGTATTATGAACCCTAAATTGACTATCATTTCAGCCATATTAAACCATGGTATATAAGTTAAAAGATCTGTATCCAGCTTAGAAAGTTTATAACTAAGGCTGCTGTAAATGTTGACATGGTAAATATGAATCCCTCTGGTTGTCCTATCTTCTCTCTCAGCCACATCATGGAATTACCAACAAATGTCAAACTTTTCGGTTTCTTTTTTACAGGTTCCTGAAATTTATAATAATATGCATTTATTACTCTGTAAAATTGACTACTTTTTCAAGCATTGGCAGATCAAGGGGTTGGACCCCCTCTTTTTTTTCCCAATTTAAAAAAAAAAATTTATGTGAACTTTTTATGCTGTTCCGGGGGTTGGAAATCCCCCTTTTCACAATGGCTGGATCCCTACCTGTCAAAGTTACAATTTCTACTTTTTTGAAATACATAACCAAGACAATCATATTAATATCTTATATCTATAAACCTGTCTACACTTGCATAGGATCCAAACATAAAATATTACAGCTTCATTGTTTTGGTGGAAATAAGTTCAGTTGTTTAGCTGTATCTGTGTTGTACATTTTATAGAATATAACAGGTTTTACTGTAAACTAGAGGCTCTAAAGAGCCTGTGTCACTCACCTTGGTCTATGTACATATTAAACAAAAGACACAGATGGATTCATGACAAAATTGTGTTTTGGTGATGGTGATGTGTTTGTAGATCTTACTTTACTGAACATTCTTGCTGCTTACAATTATCTCTATCTATAATGAACTTGGCCCAGTAGTTACAGTGGAAAATATTTTGTAAAAATTTTCAAAAATTTACTATAAAGGGCAATAACCCCTTAAGGGGTCAATTGACAATTTTGGTCATGTTGACTTATTTGTAGATCTTACTTTGCTGTACATTATTGCTGTTTACAGTTTATCTCTATCTATAATAATATTCAAAATAATAACCAAAAACCAGCAAAATTTTCTTAAAATTACCAATTCAGGGGCAGCAACCCAACAACGTGTTGCCTGATTGGTCTGAAAATTTTAGGGCAGACAGATCTTGACCTAATGAACAATTTTATCCAAGTCAGATTTGCTCTAAATGCTTTGGTTTCAGAGATATGAGCCAAAAACTGCATTTTACCCTATGTACTATTTTTTAGCCATGTCGGCCATCTTGGTTCACAGGGGGGGGTCATCGGACACATTTTTTAAACTAGATACCCTAATGATGATTGTGGACAAGTTTGGTTAAATTTGATTTTAAGGAGAAGATTTTTGTAAAAGATTACAAAAATTTACGAAAAATGGTTAAAAATTGACTATAAAGGGCAATAACTCCTTAAGGGGTCAACTGACCATTTTGGTCAAGTTGACTTATTTGTAGATCTTACTTTGCTGAACATTATTGTTGTTTACAGTTTATCTCTTTTTATAATAATATTCAAGATAATAACCAAAAACAGCAAAATTTCCTTAAAATTACCAATTCAGGGGCAGCAACCCAACAACGGGTTGTCTGATTTATCTGAAAATTTAAGGGCAGATAGATCTTGACCTGATAAACAATTTTACCCCCACGTCAGATTTGCTCTAAATGCTTTGGTTTCAGAGATATAAGACAAAATCTACATTTTACCCCTATGTTCTATTTTTAGCCATGGCGGCCATCCTGGTTGGTTGGCCGGGTCACCGGACACATTTTTTAAACTAGATACCCCAATAATGATTGTGGCCAAGTGGCCCAGTAGATTTAGAGGAGAAGATTTTTGTAAAAGTTAACGACGACGGACGACGACGACAACGGACGACGGACGCCAAGTGATGAGAAAAGCTCACTTGGCCCTTTGGGCCAGGTGAGCTAAAAAACCATACAAAGCGATTCAAAGGTGATTGTACCAAAAGGTACCAATCTCAATAAAATACCAAATATGAAATTCACTTAAAAAATGGAGATAACAACAATCCATTTCAGAATATTGTAGTATTCAAAACAAATTCCAATCATTTGAATTGCAAAATTGAAGAAATGCATAAAATGTATTAATCGTATATCAAAAATCAAAATAATATGTGGTGTGGAAAAAAGAGTCAGAAATTTCAACCAGGAAGAATGTTGTCTTCTTGTCATGTGTACTTTGGTGGGCATTTTAAATGTTAACATTGACATTAAAAGTTGTGGGTTTTTAAGCGTATCATACAAGTCAGCGACAGTTTAAATGCTGCAGTGCTGCTGTGTAAAGCATTGCCAAAACATCAGAAAATAAAACAAACTCTTATCTCAATACCTTTTATAAAAAATTCAAACTGGATTTAATATTAAGAAAAATATATGTATTAAAGGAAAGCACCAGTTAGGCAGTAATCCTAAAAATTTCCTAAGAATAAAAAATAGCTTTCATCATTTTCATAGTTAAGTGAACTCATTCAAAATCTAAATTTTCTCCCCTCTCATTAAAATGAAAATCTACCCAACTTTAGCCCATTTAATATTTATCAGTAATATCTTTTGTTCATGACCCTCAGAGAGAACTCAAAAATATAGCAATCACATTTCAAGTTTTAATATCAAATCAATAAAATTCGTAAGGGTTCCACGGAACCCGGTGTCTCGCCTACTTTTGCTGTTAATCGCAGGCTCAACAAAAATGAGGAAAAAAATTAATAAAAACATTCCTCTCGATACTATCTTTTGATTGTAAGAAGCTTCTGTCCAAGTCTGGTAAAAATCCAGGATAGTTTATGAATCTAATAAATGTTTTAAAAACTTTAACTGCAGGCTGTATGTAATGTTAACTGGAAGAAAAACTGAGTCCATTTATAACTAAAATACGAAAAAACAGGTACAAAATTTTAACAAAATTTCCTTCTAGATACATGTACTAGTTTTTGATCATAAACAAGCTTTTGTTCAAGTTTGGTACAAATCCAGGATAGTTTAAGTTATTAAAATTTTAAAAACTTTAACCACAGAGTGAATGTAATGTTTCCTGGCAGAAAAACTAAGTCCATTTATAAGTAAAATACTGGAAAAAAAATTATTCTGTTTACTAAATTTACATCTGGATACTATCTTATGATCATAAAAAAGCTTCTGTCCAAGTTTGGTAGAAATCCAGGATAGTTTAAGAAAGTTATGAAAATTTCAAAAACTTTAACCACAGAGTGAATGTAATGTTTCCTGGCAGAAAAACTAAGTCCATTTATAAGTAAAATTCAGAAAACCAGATTTTTTTTTTTACAAAATTAACTTCTGGATACTATATCTTATGATCATAAACAAGCTTCTGTCCAAGTTTGGTAGAAATCCAGGATAGTTTAATAAAGTTATTAAAATTTCAAAAACTTTAACCACAGAGTGAATGTAATGTTTCCTGGCAGAAAAGCTAAGTCTATTTATAAGTAAAATACGGAAAAACCAGAATTTTTTTTTAAAAATTTACTACTGGATACTATCTTATGATCATAAACAAGCTTCTGTCCAAGTTTGGAAGAAATCCAGGTTAGTTTAAGAAGTTATTAAAATTTCAAAAATTTTAACCACAGAGTGAATATTTGTGGATGCCGCCGCCGACGGAATGTAGGATCGCTATGTCTCGCTTTTTCAACAAAAGTCGAAGGCTCGACAAAAAGGGAGAAATTCAAAAGCAACATTTCTTTATCAACAAAGATGTTCGTTACGCATAGATTGTATGTAACATCTCTTGGCGAAAGCTGTATATAGACAGTGACACTTGTTGCTATTCCATTTGAACTGTTGATGCAAATACCTGTGTTAATTACAAACTATGCAAAAGTTCCAAACTCCATGGAACATGTCTTAGGAAATAGGACCAAATAATAAATGATAAAAATGAGATGACTCATTAGTGTTTCCTCTTAAGCTGACCATATCACAAACTTTAGGTTGCATTTTGTAAATACAGCTGTTTCACAAACCACACCTCCTTTGGGGAGATATGTTACATTCATAGATATTTTGTTTTGTTTACGTTCTGGTTCGTAGATATGATCTCTGTTTTATCTCATAGAAACATAACTTGGGAATGTTACCAGTATAATTACACATGCATAGTGGGGAACTTGAATTCTGGGAAAGACCAAAAATGAAGGGAGGGGTAGTACAGAATTTTAGTAAAATATAAATTCTTAGAATTTTCAGGGCATATAAATGTTGAAAATATGCTGCACAGCCCTATGTTTTGACCTTTAAATAAAATAGTAGTGCATATGAACTTTCATTCTAGGATATACTTTTTACGAAACTTCATGGTAAAAGTGGCACAGTTTTAGCCATAAAGGGAGTTCCTAAAGGAAATTGCATTGTCTTTATTTAGGGAAGTGCAAACTTTAATAATTGTTGACTAGGCAGACACCAACTGCTGAAACAGTATGCATAAGTTATCTCACCAAATAAGTCAAACAGCTTAACAGAGACAGGGCAATTCATAAAATACATATGAAAATTGAATTGAAAAAATTTATCAGATGACAGAAGTTTTTCTTTTTCAATTTATCAGTGGTTAGCAGAGGAAGATAACTTTAATTACTCAATTACACATTTTCATTTAAATTTAGCAGTGACAGACCATGATATTTAAGACATTCTAACCTGAATTTTCATCTATAAAAGTGAACAGATCTCTATTTGACATTAAAATCCAGAAAATTTTACTTCATAAAGTTTAGCTTTGTCAGTTTCTGGAGAATGACATCCAATAAAGAAGTATCCTGGCACTGATGTTCCAAGAGAATAGGGAAATCTGATTCCAACTTCAGACAGCCTTTTGTTAGCAATAATTTGTCCATTCATATCTAAAATATGAATTGTATGATTGTTCCTATCAGCTACAACAATATTATCTGATGGTGTGGTCAGGATGTCAGCTGGGTGAAAAGGTCGCCGCTTAGAGTTAATGTTGGGATTGCCTTCATATGTCCCTACCACGTTTCCAGCCTGTCCAAGAATAACAATTCTACCAGTCTTTATATCTAACCCATCGACCACACAAATGTTTCCATTACTGGTGCTTGTAATTCTCTCTGGAACTGTTAATAATGGTTTCCAGTTTTCATCTACTTCATATATTTTCAAATAATTTCCTTCATGATCCATTACTAGCACTGAACTGTAACCGGTAGCACCAAAAAATTGTAAGAATCCTTTAACCCAGGATGAAAACTGGTAACCGTTTACAGTGCCTGTAATGACCTTGTCCTTTGTTACATGGATACACAATGGCATCGCTCTTGAAAAATGCCATGATACTGTATACTTAGAGTTAGACATTTGCCCTGTTTTTTTATCAACCACCTGAAGTGTTTTGTTACCGTCTACCACTAAAATCAGATCTCCAGATGGAGTTACTGCCATGTCATGTACAACTATATCAAACTGTGAAATTATTTGTGGCTTTTCTTTTTTCAAATTTAAATGCATAACAGTGTCATGAGTACCATCAGATATCCATACGGAACTCTCATGGCAGCCATCGGATATCCATACGGAACTCTCATGGCAAGATGACATACAAAATATGTTATTTATATCTATTGTAAATTGTCTGGTAACTTTAATCTCTGTTCCAGTTTGTTCTTCCCTCATTTCTTCCTGTTCAGAATCTAATGTTGAATTGGAGGAATTTCCTAGTGCAACTTCTGACATTATTCTAGTCTCTTGGTTTTCTTTCTCCCTTTGAGTTCCAACTTCTGACATTATTCTAGTCACTTGGTTTTCTTTCTCCCTTTGAATTCCCTCAACAGACTTTTCTTCAGCATTATAATTTTCCTTTTCTATAACATCATGCCCTTTATGAATATCAGTAAGACATTTTAGACAAATGTTTTCATTACAAATTTTACAAAACAAACAGCACGCATGATCCATATGTTGTTTGCATCTTAATTTTATAAAATGAACATTTTCGTCTGAGTCACCACAAGATTTGTCTTTTAGTTCCTTCATTTGAAACATTTTATGGTAGGTGATATGTCCTAACATAGAAGGGACACTTTCGTTATATATGCAATATATCCATAAATTTACACTGGATGTGTTTTTCAATCTCAGACACCTGGTATCTGATGAAGACACAAAGATACTTGTTACCATTCAACCAACTAACCAGGGATGGTATACAATAAATCATTTCTATATCATGTTAGTTGATCATAAAAAGCAATTTGAACTAATTTGAAAATTAAACTGTAAATATGTCCTTTAATTTCTGATAAATAATAATTTACACAATAGACCTATTCAAGGGTATTTTCTTTATTTCTTACAATACAAGTATGTGATTACATCCTGCATATAAAGACCTTGACATTCAGTTATTTTATAAAATGTCAATAATATTTTTGTACTTCACGGTTTAATAGTTTTGAAAAAAAAGAAATTTCATCAGCTCCTTCATCAAAAAATACTTTTCAAAACTTACAAATCTATACTAGTAATAATAAAAGGTTGACACAGTGATATGTCTCACCTGTATATAATTTGATAGTAAAATGCAAATGTTGGAAATAAAATTTAAATAAAAATAGCAATACTATAAATTGTACTTCTGTAAATATAGACAATGAAATTTCCCATAGGAACTTCTTGTATGGCTAAAACTGTGTCACTTTACTATGAATTTTCGTAAAAAATAATATCCTAGAACGATAAGGTTCAATACCACAAAAGGATGGTTGGGATTGATTTTGGGGGTTATGTTACCAATAGTTAAGGAATTAGGGGCCAAAAAGGGGCCAAAAATAAGCATTTTTGTAACTTCCAGACAATAACTTGTGTGTTAGTGTATGGATTTCTCTGACATTGTACCACAAGGTTCCATATCGCAAAGGGAATGCTTGGATTGATTTTGGGGGTAATTGTCAAAAATTTTAGGAATTAGGGCCAAAAAACAAGCATTTTTCTAGTTTCATGACAATAACTTGTGTGTAAGTGTATGGATACTACAAGGTTCCATATCACAAAGGGAAAGCTGGAATTGAGTTTGGGGGTAATTGCCCAAAACGTTTAAGAATAAGGGGCCAAATAGGGTCCAAAAATAAGCATTTTTCTAGTTTCCAGACAATTACTTGTGTTCAAGTGTATGGATCTCTCTGAAATTGTACTGCAAGGTATCATACCACAAAGGGAAGGCTGGGATTGATTTTGGGGTAATTGCCTCAAAATTTTAGAAATTAGGGGCCAAAAAGGGGCAAAAAAACAAGCATTTTTACAGTTTCGAGACAATAACTTGTGTTCAAGTGCAGGGATCTCTCTCTGAAATTGTACTACAAGGTACCATACCACAAAGGGAAGGCTGGCATTGAGTTTAGGGGGGATGAATCATAAGGGTGTTAAAACTAGAGGCTCTAAAGAGCCTGTGTCGCTCACCTTGGTATATATGCATATTAAACAAAGGACAAAGATGGATTCATGACAAAATTGTGTTTTGGTGATGGTGATGTGTTTGTAGATCTTACTTTACTGAACATTCTTGCTGCTTACAATTATCTCTATCTATAATGAACTTGGCCCAGTAGTTACAGTGGAAAATATTTTGTAAAAATTAACAAAAATTTACAAAATTTATGAAAAAATTGTAAAAAATTGACTATAAAGGGCAATAACCCCTTAAGGGGTCAATTGACAATTTTGGTCATGTTGACTTATTTGTAGATCTTACTTTGCTGTACATTATTGCTGTTTACAGTTTATCTATATCTATAATAATATTCAAGATAATAACCAAAAGCTGCAAATTTTTTTTTAAATTACCAATTCAGGGGCAGCAACCCAACAACATGTTGCCTGATTGGTCTGAAAATTTCAGGGCAGATAGATCTTGACCTGATAATCAGTTTTACCCTATGTCAGATTTACTCTAAATGCTTTGTTTTCAGAGATATAAGGTAAAATCTACATTTTACCCCTATGTTCTATTTTTAGCAATGGCAGCCATCTTGGTTGGTTGACCGGATCACCGGACACATTTTTTAAACTAGATACCCCAATGATGATTGTGACCAAGTTTGGTTAAATTTGACCCAGTAGTTTCAGAGGAGGAGATTTTTGTAAAAGTTAACAGACGACGACGACGACGGACGCAAAGTGATAAGAAAAGCTCACTTGGCCCTTTGGGCCAGGTGAGCTAAAAATGGGAAAGGGGGGGGAATTTTTTTTTTTCTTTAAAATTTTCCATTTTAAGTTGGTTATTTTTTATTTATATATAAAAGCAAATAATAATGATATGGTTTGAATAGGTAAATTAAATTTTTTTTAAGTTCATAGACCACATTCATTCTGTGTCAGAAACCTATGTTGTGTCAAATATTTAATCACAATTCAAATTCAGAGCTGTATCAAGCTTGAATGTTGTCTCCATACTTGCCCTAACTGTTCAGGGTTCGACCTCTGCGGTCGTATCAAGCTGCGCCCAGCAGAGCATTTTATTAAAGAATTTGAAAGATTTTAGTTATTGTCAGCTTACCCTATGTGCATGTTTTCTGACATGGAATGCCTAGAACCTGTATGAAACTACTCTGATAAAAAATTAAAAGCATTTCAAGACACATTAAATGTAAAGTTTAATAGTTAATCATTCCAACATTCAAGATTATATAAAGTATCCAATTCTGCCTCTGTCTCCAGTCCACATCTTACTGTATGCCCATTTATCTATAAAAGCTCACAATTTCTGTCTCAAATGGTCAGTTTAAAAATCTTGTCACAATAATATCATCTCTAATATTAAATATATCTAACATAATTTGGCTAATATATGAACTAGAAGTGTTAAAACAAAGCCATATTTGCATAAGTTGTATGTATGAAGTTACATGTTTGATATATAAATTAATTAAAAGTTTTAGAGAACTGGCTGATAAAATCTGTTTTTCACATAACTTCAAAGCAAGGTTAAAGTTTTCTATACAAAAGACCTTATAATAATATAAAATTACAGCATATACAGGTTAAATTATCTGTTTTATGACGCAGAGGTTAAGACAATACGCAAAAATGAAAAACAAAAAAAATGTTAAAGTTGGCATTTAAGGTAATAACTCTTATATGGAGTTGTCTAAAAAATGTCGTCAAAATTGACTTTTAGGACTTACGTTGATCTTGACATTCTGAGCATTTTAGCCCCATTCAGATTTTCTTTATCTATAACTGTTTTCAAGATAAAAGACAAAACTTGCATTTTATCCCTATGTTCTATTTTTAGCCATGTTGGTCAGCAGGTGGGATCATTTAACAAATTTTAAAACCACATTTCCCAAAGTATGATTGTGGTCAAGTTTATTTTCAATTGGCCCAGGAGTTTCATAGGAGAAGACGACTAAGGACAAAAGATGACAAACAACAGACAATGAAGGTCAGATGAGCTTAAAAGTGCATTCCAACTCCTCAAACATTTTTTCTTGGAAAAACCCCATAGTTACTCGCCACTTTATATAATGTTTATAGTATCAAATAATTTAGAGATATCTTTACCCAGTATAGTTACTCACCACTTTATAATGTTTTATTATTTCCAATAAACTAGAGATATCTTTACTCGGTTTAGTTATTCAATAATCTAGAAATATCTTTACCCAGTATAGTTACTCACCACTTTATAATGTTTTATAATTTCCAATAAACTAGAGATATCTTTACTCAGTTTAGTTATTCAATAAACTAAAGATATCTTAACTCAGTATAATTACTCACCACTTTAAAATGTTTTATAATTTCCAATAAACTAGAGATATCTTTACTCCGTATAGTTACTCACCACTTTTAAATGTTTTATAATATCCAATAAACTAGAGGTATCTTTACTCAGTTTAGTTACTCACCACTTTATAATGTTTATAATATCCAATAAACTAGAGGTATCTTTACTCAGTTTAGTTACTCACCACTTTATAATGTTTATAATATCCAATAAACTAGAGGTATCTTTACTCAGTTTAGTTACTCACCACTTTATAATGTTTTATAATATCCAATAAACTAGAGGTATCTTTACTAAGTACAGGTAAATACTCAGACTTTTCTTTCCTTGTCCACCAATTTTTTGGGGATCTACAATTGAAAACCATTTGTAGAAAGCATTAAACTATATATCTGTTTTTTTTTTTTTTTGCCATAGCTATTTAAACCAATGAAACAACTTGATTTTCAAAGATTTTTAAGAGTTTCTCGCTCATAGGTTTCATAAACTAATTTCTGACTTAATGTACTATATATCTTCAAATGTTAGTTTTGGGCTAAAGCTACCTTTATTTTATCTTTAAGCATTTGTTTTCATTTGGCTTTCCAAACTTTTGGCTCAAAGGGTTCCTGATAAAGGTTCAGGCCTACGTTTCATAAATAATATCTTGACAAAAATTTGTTGTAAGCATACTAAATTGTTCAAGATCAATTCTAGTCCCCAGATTTTTTATAAGTAGGCCAGGCAATCAGTCAAAAGTTATTATTTGGAACTTTATAAAGTGAGTATATTAAGCAATTATGACTTTTTTAATACAAATTTGTTCTAACGCTCTTTCTTTTTTAATAAAAGAATTCTAAGTGATACATAAATGCACTTGATTTAAGTGACCTCTTTATTCCATGTAACCTTCAAATGACCTGTTTATTCCATAAAACCTTCAAATGACCTGTTTATTCCATGTAACCTTCAATGACCTCTTTATTCCATAAAACCTTCAAATGACCTCTTTATTCCATGTAACAATGTTCTTAATGATAGCTAATATACAAGTTATCTACCTTGTTTGACTGGAACTTGTGTAATAGTAATGGTACAATTTGGCCCTTATATATTTTGGCGGAGCATCTGGGAATGGATTTTTGGCAATCAACTCTAGAACTTCCTCCTGCCCAGTAAGCAAACGATACACCATTGTAACAAACCAAGGATTATGTTGATAGTTACCAAGGGCAGCAAACCACATCTGCCAATCCAATCTTGGTTGATGAGGTGCTGAAATTATTAAACAAAATATATTCTCTTTTGATTTATTCGCATAACATTAGAAGACTCTACACATGGATATATTCAGTCAATGGAATGCTTGGAAAACACCACAATCGTGACCAGAATAGAAATGATTATACTGATAATTCATTAATTTTCGTGGGTACCAATTTTTGTGAATTGAGGAAAACTTGTCTTTTTGTGAATATTTGATTTAGCCAAAGTCTGCATACAAGCCTATAGAAGATGTGTACTTCGGTGAACATTTAAAATTGTGGTTCACCAATACCCATGAAATCCATAATAATTGGCATCCAACAAATAATAATGAATGCACAGTAAATAAGATAACTTGATGCATATAAATACTGTGGATTCATAATTATTCGTTGGATACCAATTTTTGTGGATTTCATGGTAACCCAGGAACTACAAATTCCAATGTACAATGTATAACAAATTTTCTATAAGAGTGTATGCAGACTTTGGCAAAACCACGAAATAAAATATCCACGAAAATGCAAGTTTTCCTCAATCCACAAAAATTATTACCCACGAAAATAAATGAATCCAGAGTACTTTGCGGATTGTATAGATTAATTTTTTTATGAAACAAACTGCACCAGTTTGAAAAAAAGTAAAATACTGTAAATTCATTTGTTCATGGGATGTGGGTATAAAAGAACCACAATTTAAGTGTTCAAAATGTACAAAGGAATAAGGGCAATAAGGCCCTTATTTAGCTGAATTATTAGTGCAAATTGAAAAGTTACAAAATACATTCTTAAATTGGTCCTAGCTTCAATAAGGTACAAGTTGTTCAGAAAATATATTTTTTTTAACATTTAACATCCTACCATGGCAACAAACCATGACGAAATTTGTATAGTTTGTAAAATTTCTTGATTTTTCTTGTTTTGCATTTTGTAGCCCTCAATGGCCGAGTGATCTAAGTAGTTCATTTACTGTATCACTAGCCTGTCACCTCTGAGGTTTTGAGTTGGAACCCCACATGTGGCATGTGCCTTCGAATCCAATCTTAATTGACTAGAATTGCCAGTTTTCCTGTCAAATATTGATAGTTCTCTCCAGGCATTCTCTGGCTTCTTCTATCAAATAAAAACTGATGGCTACAATATAGAAAATAGTGCTGAAAGTTATGTTAAACACCATCAATCAATCAATCTTGCCTTCTGCAGGTGAGATAAAACTAGAGGCTCTATAGAGCCTGTGTTGCTCACCTAGGTCAATGTGCATCTTCTTTCGTAGTTTTCAAGATAAAAGGCAAAAAGACAAAAAATTGGTAAATCTCATCATTATTAAAGAGCAATAGCTTCTACAAGGAGTCGACTGACAATTTCAGCCATTTGATTAATATTTAGATCTTGTCTTGCTGATAATTTTTGCTAATTTAAGTTTCTGTAATCTATTAAAATTTTTAAGAAATATTTTCTTTTGTCATTAAAGGGCAAAAGCTCGTACAAGGAGTTGTTGGACAATTTCCTCCATTTTGACTTTAATAATAGTAGAACTTGTCTTGCTGATCATTTTTGCTTATTTAAGTTCTATCTATCTATTATAATTTTTAAGATATAAGGCAAAAACGAAAAAAAAATGGTAAAAATCATCATATGAGTGCATAAACTCTAATAAGGAGTTGTCAGAAGAATTCCTTTATATGACCTAATTGTAGATCTTGTCTTGCTGATCATTTTTGCTATCCAAAGTTTCTCTCTATCTATTACAATTTTAGGATATTAGGCAAAAATGCCAAAAATTGGAAAAAAAACTTCATTTAAAGGCAATAACTCCTATAAGAAGTCATCTGACAGTTTACATGTAAATAGACAATAGGTAGATCGCAACAATCTGATCATTTTTTACCCCGTCAGATTTTCTTTATCTATAGTGGTTTTCAAAATAATAGACAAAACTTGCATTTTACCCCTATGTTCTATTCTAAGCCATGGCAGCCATGTTTGTTGGCAAGCCTGGTCATCAGACACATTTTTTAAACTAAATACCCATATGATTGTGGCTAAGTTTGGTTAAATATGGCCCATTATTTTCAGAGGAGAAGATTTTTGTAACAGTTAACAGACGTCGAGGACGAAGATCCATAAGACAGACGCCAAGTGATGAGAAAAACTCACTTGGCCATTGAGCTAGGAGAGCTAAAAAACATACCAGAAAACCTAAGCTTATAAAATAGATACATGTTTAACCCCGCCGCATTTTTGCGCTTGTCCCAAGTCAGGAGCTTCTGGCCTTTGTTAGTCTTGTATGTTTTTTAATTTTAGTTCATTTATATGTTTTGGAGTTTAGTATGACGTCCATTTTCACTGAACTAGTACACATTTTTATTTAGGGGCCAGCTGAGGACCACCTCCGGGTGCAGGATTTTCTCTCTGCGTTGAAGACCCATTAGTGGCCTTCGGCTGATATCTGCTCTTTGCCCGGGTTGTTGTCTCTTTGACAGATTCCCCATTTCTATTCTCAATTTTATAACATTCTTAGTCTAAATATAAACATGTGTGTCATCTCTTTCCATATTCTATTTATTTATTTATTAGCCATGTGCTTGGAACAAGTCTTGTTATTAGGTCAGTGAATGTTACATACTGTCACTATCTTTTACTTACAAAACAAAGCAAGATACAAGGCAGATTACCATGTCTCTTTATCTATACTGTTATCCCTATACTCACCAACTATGGGTAATTTTCCAGACAGGTTACCAGGTTTATACAGGAACTCATACTCCTTCCAACCTTTTTGCATACTGTTACTACCTTCTACAATGACTTCTGGTCTCCCTCCAACACCAGTCATTCTACACAGAAACAAAGCAAAGCAGATATAAAATTGGTTTGAATTTTACTAATTTTTTTCTTCATTTTAAGTCAGTATGACCAGCAATAAAAGTACTGTTTCTTTGCTCTGATTTGTGTCATAAATCTATACACAATATCCTTTGCTTTCCATTATAATGTAGTAAATTTTTAAGCAATAAAACAGTTTTGTGCATAATAATTTTTCTTCTGGGCTTTTTGTTATAACAACTATTGGCTCATCTGACCCAAAATATCAAAGGTATAGGCTGTTGCCTAAATCTTAATATGAATGGGATTATCTTGAAATAAATTATATTTGTAGTTTTTCCAGTTGACATCTTTAAATGCAAGAAGTCTGAAGGCCTTAAGCAAAACATAGGAGAAAATTAAAAAATAAGACTGTTAATTCAGAAATTTGTGCTTGCATTCATTATTGTGATTGTTGAAAGATGGACACCAATGTGAGATTAAATATAGTGATTTCTGGAAATGCTGCATTCAACTTATGGTATCAAAATTCAATATGCACAAATTTTATATTTTTGCGGAACTTGTCATTATGCAGTTTCCGCAGTAATAAAAACATCACATTTTTCGCAAAACAAAAACATTTCAAATATCTCTGAATTTACAGCATATTGTTACTATTATAAGGTAGATGTATGTTACATTTAGATTGTTTTTCAGATATTTAATCCTGCAAGGACATATGTATTTATTCACTGGTATCCAAATTTATTAGATCTAGTTTGCCATTACAAAAAAGAGCCTTAAAAATAAACACAACCAAAGTCAATCATTACAAAATTGATAATGATCTTGGGAAGATAAAGATAGGCAAACTTAAGTTTATAAATGTTCAAAATATCACCAACCAACCAAATGTTTAGTCTATAAAACAGCCAGATGATTGTATAATTAGATAGGCTCCATAAAATTATTTTAAAACATGTAAAAAACTCCAACAAATACATCAGTGTTTCCAGCATGCAAAGCCAGTAAAATAACATGAACTAACATACAAGACTTACTGGGACACACAGACAGAAAAATTACTCTATAACCAGCAAACAAGGACAGAGACTATGAAAAAAATTATGTTAAGTCTTACGTTCTAAACAGTCCATATGAACTGGTAATTTGGAAGGGGTCAAGTTTTTCATTGACATTACGAACTGCTGGTGGAATTTTTTGGTTTGACTTCCAGTCTAATTCATTAGTAAAAGGAACCTGCAATCAGAAATGTTTTAAGCCTTTATCTAATTTAAGTCTTTCATGCATTATATATTTTTCATACATGCATTATTGAATTAAGCTATAAACAAAGGGAACCAAGCTTTGATAGGTTTTAATCTATTCAGGTCTTTCTCAGAGAAGCTGATATTGATCCTGACCAATCAGATTCATGGTTTCATTTGACTATAGCACTAAAGACTAGCAAACACCTGTAAATTAGAAATTTATCAAAGGTCAGGATTGATTGGTTGGTTGCTGTTTCCTTAATGCCCAGTGGCAAGTATTTCATGCATATCCAGGATAAGAAAACAACAATGGAACAACAAAAGTAAATAAAAGACATTAAAATCTATTTCCCATTTTTACATTTCCCTGTACCTTCTAAATAATCCATATGAACTTGCTATGTGAAATTCTTTAGTTTTATCATGTATTCTTGTTATATCTGATGGTAGTAGTTTCTGTGACGGACGGTGGACACCTGTTGTAAACGGTACCTAAAATATGGAACATTTTCTTCATTTCATACAACATGAACTGAGTTTATACACATGATTAAATAACTTATTTCATAAAAACAAAACTGCTTTTAATATTTTGATTATTTAAGTCACTTTCAATTATCATTTCCTTTTCAAACTAAGTTTGATAAATTTTCACTTCTGTACTCCTACTGTGAACAACAAATTTATCTATTTTGTAAAAAATGTTTCCGTACTCCTAACAACAAAATTATTGTATTCAAATTTACCTGTGTACATTTTTTTATTTAACACCATTTTGTCCCAGGTTAGAGTTGTCTTTTAGACATTGTTCCTACATCTTTTTTATTAATATTGTTTCTATATTGTGTCATAGATCAAACTTATTCGTTCAGTGTATGTTTACTTGTTTTTGTTTATATGTCTTTTTGATCAAGTTAAGCCATTTCAATTGATATTTTATAGTGTGTTTTTTTATGTTGTAATGTTACACTACTGTTTCAGGTTAGAGTGAAGGTTGGCGCCTGTTAAAATGTTTAAAACCGCTGCATTTGTATGAACCTGTCCTAAGTCAGGAGCCTGTTGTTCAGTGGTTGTCGTTTGCTGGTGTGGTTCATAAGTATTTCTCGTTTCTCGTTTTATATAGATTAGACCGTTGGTTTTCCTGTTTGAATTGTTTTACACTAGTCATTTTGGGGCCCTTTATAACTTTTTGTTCGGTGTGAGCCAAGGCTCCGTGTTGAAGGCAGTACTTTGACCTATAATTGTTTACTTTTTATACATTGTGACTTGGATGGAGAGTTGTCTCATTGGTACTCATACCACATCTTCTTATTTATAAATAACTTTTAAATGAATTTGGAAATAATAGGATTAATCATATAACAGATGAAAAATTCAGGTCAGGAATTTTTACCCTTCCAGAGCAAATTTCACTGCCTTTCCATTTGTTTCTTGCTACTTAACCTTTATTTCAGCATAACAGTTTATTGTAAAATAGCCTAAAGTTTTAAGTTTAATACAGTATCCAAAATAGGAGTCTATAAGTATAAACCACATATTTCAGTGGCATCAAAAGCAGATGGACACAGTCAACTCCTGTGTTTTACAGAAAAGTGAGATTATTTCCAGTAAATTACCAAAAAAGCTAAATATTTCAATTTATTGTGGCTGTCATTTTACAATATTTTCATGCCAAAAACATGATAATCCTTAAATATCTCATATTTTGTTTTCATCATATATTCAAGTGTAAGGCTTTAAAAAACTCGCATAGTAATCTTAGTTGAGGTATTGTAATGCATTGTAACTGACTAGGATAATTTTTTCCTGCCGAAGGTCAGTTTTCTCCAGGCACTGTGGCTTCCTCCATCAATAAAAACTTGATGCCACAAAATAGCCAATAGTGTGGAAGTCACATTGGATGTAATATTTGACAAAGATGAACCAGAGGTTTTGTACATCTGAGTATGTTGAGTTCGAAAATTGATACCCACGAAAATAAATGAATCCACAGTATTTCAGAACTGTTCTGTCTTATCTGTTATCTATGTAACTATAATATGTATCAGCCCTCTTTTTGTAATGCAACCAAGAGTAGAGGATGTAATAGTTTGCAGTTCTGTCTTTGATTTCTTTTTTACCTTACTTTTATTCCCCCAAATGGTATATTAATAGAGGATCTGATAAAGGTCATAAGATGATAACTCAAGTGATACAGGTCAGCTATAGATGTAAATTAGGTCAATTTTAGATAAAGCAACAGTATTTGATGCTTTGTATCAAATCTGAAAAAACAGCTGCGCCATGAGCGCATGATATGCCGGCCACTTTTTCAAAGAATAAAGTTCAATAACTTCTCAATGTCATCAGAAAATCATGAAAAATTAAAGGGAGGTTATCTTAATAGATATAAACCAGTCACCAAAGTTTTATGATAGGTGCTCAAAACATTGTCCGAAAACTTTTCTTCCTAAGCCAATAATCTGTTATATAATGAGATGGGTAACTTTGGCTGTGAAACTTATATGTAACATGACTTACCAGACTTATACATAACATTGCTACAGCGACCACACCAAACACAAGGCATAACACTGCTGACCAAACTTTCCATACAATACTGTAGTCTGATATGAAACATCTACAAAATAAATATCAGAACACTACAACACTAACACATAACACAGCTGACCAAACTTTCCATACAATACTCGAGTCAGAAAGGCAACATCTACAAAATAAAGTTCAGAACAGTATAGAACACAAACACAAAACACTGCGGACCAAACTTCCCATACAATAGCTGTGTCAGTACATAATAAAACATCTGTTTCAAAAAAGTTCTAAATACTAAAACACGATACTTAACACTGCTGACCAAACATTCAATACAATACTGGAGTCTGATTTCCGTAATTATATAAAAATCATGAAAAAAGATCATGGCTAGGCATACTTTCCATACAATACTGGAATCAGAGAGTATTGCACATGCACTCTAATTTCATGTACCGACAGGAACATTGGATGAGTTAACACGTATATTAGACAAGCTTTCTATCTTTCAATTCATATTTGGAACGAGATGTACTTGATATCACATAATTTTAAGTAATTTTCTATGTCCAAGGGCCAGATCTTCTATAGTAGTCTCAAAATATGAGCAAACACCAAAACAAAAACTTATTATGTAACTTCTCACAACACATGGAATAGGCCTAAAACACATAGAGAAGGTATCTTACTGTTTATTTAAGTATAACAAAAGAAAATATTGTTTTCTTTTTTGGGCTCATTAATTTTTGTTTATTTTTTATTTATTTTTTTTAATCACAGGTGTTACTAATAGTTGTGTCTTACAGAAGTTTTGTCTATCTGGGGTTGCAAGTTATACTGAAATGTTTAAAACTTACCAGAATTTTGTTTGTAAGTTTTTGGGTAAAATGAATTGCTGTATCTCAACTTTGCAAAAACCACACACACACATATATATACATTTAGTATACAGTATTCATGATAATTTAGTTAAGAGTAAAACATATGAAAGGTTACTTGACATACTGACCTTAATACAGAAAGAAGAACTTCATATCCCAATGATACACAACCTATTATTATTGTCCATGGAACTATTTGTTCTAACCAATGGTCAAATTCTTTAGAACTAAAAGCTATAAAATAATAAAACAGATAATGACCTGATGTTCAGTGGTTGTCGTTTGTTGATGTGGTTCGTAAGTGTTTCTTGTTTCTCGTTTTTTATATAGATAAGAACGTTGGTTTTCCTGTTTGAATGGTTTTACACTAGTCATTTTTGGGGTCCTTTATAGCTTGCTGTTCGGTGTGAACCAAGGCTCTGTGTTGAAGGCTGTACTTTGACCTATAATGGTTTACTTTTTACACATTGTGACTTGGATGGAGGGTTGCCTCATTGGCACTCATACCACATCTTCTTTTATCTAATATATTCAGGAGAATCAATATCAGTATCTAACAGATAAACATTTCTAGACTGTTTGTGACCTCTTGATGTAGTTTTGTTTTGTTTTTTTTTGTGTTGTTTGGGAGCTGTCTTATCTAAATATACCCCACATCTGTTTGCAGCCATATGATATCATCATTTGTATATTGTTTATTTCCACATGATTCTCATTGAGTAGTCAAGTAAACATTTACCCTATTTCTCATTTTTCCACAATGATTTATTCTATCAAGTTTTAGCATTCTGTAACTCATTAAAAGGCGGTACGTAATCAACACTGGTATGGGTGTGTTTGGATCAATGGTTAACATGTCTGCACCATATGATAAAACAATAATATCCGTGATAAACTGTTGTGATGTGACCAAGTCAGGAACCTACAGTTCTTATATGATTTGTTAAAATTTCTTGAAATGATCATGAATAGGATGTATAGAATGTTATGCTCAATGCACTATGTTTTTTTCATCTCAAAAGTAAACTCGGGAAAATATATAACTATCAAGCCAGCCACATAAGGGTTTTGATTGTATGAATGCAATCTTTACTAAAAAAATGTGTTTAATTCTATAGTAATTCAGTGATTGCTGTTGGTTGCTGTCTGCCATTTTTGTTTTTGTTTTTTGTTTTGTCATAAATCAGGCCTTTGGTTTTCTGGTTTGGATTGTTTCACATATTGTCATGGGACTTTAAAACTTTACCATACAGTATGTATGTTACTCATTCTTGAGTTGCTTACATCCACATCATTTATACTCTGGTGGACAGTTGTATCATTGGCAATCATACCACAGCTACTTAATCTTACATTTACCTGGGCCTCAGATGTGTAGGATAGATCCACATAAGTATACTGGCTAGATTCCATACAGTGTCAAATTTGTTGTTGAGACTGTTTATCAGGAAATTTTAAATTACTTCTAAAATTCCTGTCCTTCGCATATTTTTAAAACGTTTTTTTCTCTTTAAATCAAAATATAAAAAGTGCAAAATAAAATTCTACTTCAACAGTAATTTTGTAGACTATAAATATTTTACCTATTTCAGACTTTATAGAAAAATTTGGACTGGTTACAACTTGTAACGAAAACAGCTTCCACGTCTGGTAACCTATGTAACATATTGTTACTATCTCAAAAATGTTAGATAAAAGTCCAGTAGATCTTGTTCTCTTCCTTCCTGAAATGTAGATAGAACAATAGTCAATGTTACAATAGTCATGGAATTTGATGCGACTGTCATACAAGCGAGAGGTTTAGCGCTATAAAACCAGGTTCAATCCACCATTTTCTACATAAGAAAATGCCTGTACCAAGTCAGGAATATGACAGTTGTTGTCCATTCGTTTGATGTGTTTGTGCTTATGATTTTGCCATTTGATTAGGGACTTTCCGTTTTGGATTTTCTTCGGAGTTCAGTATTTTTGTGATTTAACTTTTTATTACAATATGTTGACTTCTATCATGTCATAACTCAAATCAAATATACAACATTAATGACTACATTTGTAGACAAATTGTCCAAATTAAGCAATCGTGAGATATTCTAAAGTGACTATAGTTCTTTTGAATAGCGTGAACAGTTTGGGAACTTAAGAGACAGAAAAAGTGATGAGAGAAGGTAAATAACTCTATTAATGATCTGAGTGTTTTCTTTAATTCTCTATCCTGTTGATTTGACAAATTTCCTTTATATCTTATGAACTTAACATTTGTCAATTTTTTTCTTACAAATCAAATAAATATTGGTACTTTTTGTGAATTTATTAAGCCCTTCCTATGATACTAGAGAGGCATTTTGTTTTCAAGTATGTGTGTCTATTTATCTGTCTCTTTTAATATTGGGTTAAAGTTTTTGGTATAAGGTAGTTTGTGGTTACATCAACTTGAAACTGAGTACACATGTTTATTATAAAGTAAACTATAAAAACAATATATGACAATTTAGGGTTTTGATCCAGATTTCACATTTCACTTAACATGGAAATGTGATAGTGTTAGCGGGACATAATGTCCTACTATTACATATTCTTATTTTATTTGTAATTCTATATAATTATGACATCTAAGTTCTTGGGGGTATACATATTGCACATATGAATCAAAGCGCGAAAGCGCTGTAAAGGCAGTTAATTACAGGTTGTGTGTATTTTTAGTCCAGTTATATCATTATCTTGCATAGTACATTGTACTTATCAGAGGTGGCTTTCAGTATTTAAGATTTAGAGTTCTCTAATGATATTGAACTAGTTTTATGAATGTCATATTCTGAGCACTATATGAAGGCGATTGTTCTCACTTGTTTATGAACTAGTGCATTATGTCCAGTTTGTACCTTTTTTATCTATGTTTATAGTCAAATACTGTTTAAAATAGTTTGGCATTTTCTTTTTAGTAATAAGTAAATGTTATCAACTGTATTTTATTCAACTTTGCAAATGTGGTTTGTTACTGGTAAGTACAATGTATGGATGATAGTTGTTTCATTGGCAATCATAACACATCTCCTTATTTATATAATGATCTATATTCAACGACCTCAGGTGCAAAAAAAGTGTATGTAACTAAACTATGATGGGAAACCTTTGACTTCTTTCTTTTATATAAACTTTTGATTTGGTACCATAGAACTATGTAGAATAAATGTACATTGCAACATGTCAACTCTTTCAATGACAATATTTTTTTTAGAAACTATAACTCCAAGCAAAATTATATTTCCAAGTATAAAGTAATTTATGAATGAAACAAGAGTGCACACGCTCAAATGTCTTTTCTAATCATTGATATTATGTTGATAGTCCTAAATATAAAGCTTTATTACAACTGTCACATGAACTTAACATTAACCAAGTAAACTAAACATTGACCAATGAACCAAGAAAATGAGGTCAAGGTCAGATGAACCATGCTAGGCAGGCATGTACAGGTAACAATTCTTCCATACAACAAGTATAGTTGACCTATTGCTTATAGTTTAAGAAAAACAGACCAAAACACAAAAACTTAAAACTGAGCAATGAACCTTGAAAATGAGGTCAAGGTAAAAAAAAACAAAAACCTGTGTGACTGACAAATAGATCATAAAATATTTCCATACACCAAATATAGTTGAATTATTGCATATAGTATTAGAAAAAAAGACCAAAACTCAAAAACTTAACTTTGACCACTGAACCATGAAAACGAGGTCAAGGTCAGATGACACCTGCCAGCTAGACATGTACACCTTACAATCATTCCATACACCAAATATAGTAGACCTATGGCATACAGTATAAGAAAAACAGACCAAAACACAAAAACTTAACTATAACCACTGAACCATGAAAATGAGGTCAAGGTCAGATGACACCTGCCAGTTGGACATGTACACCTTACAGTCCTTCCATACACAGAATATACTAGACCTATTGCTTATAGTATCTGAGATATGGACTTGACCACCAATACTTATCCTTGTTCACTGATCCATGAAATGAGGTCGAGGTCAAGTGAAAACTGTCTGACGGGCATGAGGACCTTGCAAGGTACGCACATACCAAATATAGTTATCCTATTACTTATAATAAGAGAGAATTTAACATTACAAAAAATCTTAACTTTTTTTCAAGTAGTCACTGAACCATGAAAATGAGGTCAAGGACATTGGACATGTGACTGACGGAAACTTCGTAACATGAGGCATCCTTATACAAAGTATGAAGCATCCAGATCTTCCACCTTCTAAAATATAAAGCTTTTAAGAAGTTAGCACACGGCCGCCAGATCACTATCCCTATGTTGAGCTTTCTGCGACAAAAGTCGCAGGCTCGACAAAAAGGAGTTCTTAATTAAGAAATAAACTGATTCGCTGAGCGCAGCTGGATACACCCGCAGAGGTCCAACCCTGAACAGTTGGGGCAAAAATGGACACAATATTCAAGCTTGATACAGGTCTGAATTTGGATTGTAATTAAATATTTGACATATTATAGTTTCTGAATAAATGTAGTCAAAGAACTTGAAATCGGTTATATGAATTTAATCTATATTCAATTAAAGATTTCTTGCTGTTGTGCAATACACTGTGCTGTTGCGCAATACTTAATAAATATGTTGCCAGACTATAAACAAATAAAGTTCAATTTCTTCTCAATGTCATATTTGAAATTTATGAAAATCAATAGGGAGATTACATCAATAGCTATAAATAATTCACCAAAGTTTCATGCGCAACTGCTTAAAGCATTTTTGAGTTGTCCAAAAACTGGAAAATCCCCCCTTTTTTAATGAATAAAACCCCATAACTCAGAAATGTAAAATCTAAAATTTATAAAATTCTAAAGGGAGCTTACGGATTGATAATTTAGTCTTAGATGCAAGATTTTTTTATCAGTTGTTAGTGGCTTTGAACTAGCTGTCAGAAAATGCGAGTACTCTCAGATCTGTACTTAGTGTCTTTTTGTTGTTTGGATGTACAACTACCCGACAACGTCCACTTGTATTTGTATTTATCCATCTGATGAGTTAAGCCTCTTTCAACTGATTTTTATAGTTCGTTCTTATATTGTACTGTTACACCACTGTCCCAGGTTAGGGGGTGGGTTGGGATTCCGCTAACATGTTTAACCCCGCCACATTCTGTATGTACATGTATGTGCCTGTCCTAAGTCAGGAGCCTGTAATTCAGTGGTTGTCGTTTGTTTATGTGTTGCATATTTGTTTTTCGTTCATTTTTTGTACATAAATTAGGCCGTTAGTTTTCTTGTTTGAATTGTTTTACATTGTCATTTCGGGGCCTTTTATAGCTCACTGTGCAGTATGTGCTTTGCTCATTGTTGAAGGCCATACTGTGACCTATAGCTGTTAATTTCTGTGTCATTTGGTCTCTTGTGGAGAGTTGTCTCATTGGCAATCATACCACATCTTCTTTTTTATATTTACATCAACAGATATAAACAATTCACCCAAGTCAAGGTGAGACAACAAAACTTAGTTGTAAGATCTCTGAAATTTTTTACAAGGTACAAGTTTTTCTCATTGTTGGAGATTGTACGGTGACAGTAACACCTGTAACTGCTTAACCCATTTCTTATGCACTTTGGTTCAATATACTCACTGAATATCATACCACATCTCCTTATTTTCATATGCATTACAATTTACATGTGCATGTAATTGTAAATATATATATATATAACAGAACAAACTTCATTGCATCACTTTTATTTATGCATCCTTTGGCCATGTTGGCACAATACAAGTTCTAAAATTACACAACATAAAACAACTAAATGTTATTTCAGATGAAAGTTTTATTTCAGTTCCATTCATAGGATTTATTAGAATTTTGTATGTTTTGCCAAGTCCAATAATTAGCTCTATGTGCACGTGTTAATTGGAGACTTTTCTATCCCGTTTAAGAGTTTTGGAACTTACAATGTATTCTGTTTCTTTTTTTGAAAAAAGTGAGCAAACAAATCTTGCACATTGAAACCTTTGTCTGCCATCACACTGTCACCTGGATCACATAATTGAACTATTCTACATCTTTCAACTATTTCACAGTCACTGGTACAACCAACATAATTTTGAACATATGCATTAGAGACATAGTTGACTAAACCACCAGGTGTCGAACATACAAGTATTTTTAGTGTTTCTGTTTTTATATGATGAAAAGGTTGCCTAAGCTCTAGGAGCTTTAGGTTTTATCACGGGATATTCTGTGCTGTCAATAATAATCCAAGTTGTAGGAAACTTTAATTTGAAGTTGGATGGCGAAAAATACCTGACTAAACCACTAAATGGCCAAGTGTTAGCCTCACGTCACTGTTTAGACATAAAAACAATCCATGTTTACACAACATTCTTAACACTAGTTTCAATCTAGAATCTAGACAGTTCAAAGTTGGTTGTATAATGCCTCAATTTCATCAAAGTCATAAAAAAACTGATTTTCAAATGACACCCTATCAATTTGAAAATATATGTATCTCAAACAATGTGCCGCTGGACCAAGTGTGGTCAAAACAAATAAAAATTTAGTATACAACTCTAAACCAGTATAAAAATGCATGGCTGTGTCAAGTGTCTTCATTTCAAAATTCTCTGCTGAAAATATAGGCATTGATGGTGTTTGCCTAATTCCATCTGTGAAGCTCAACATTAGCTCGGCAGTTGGTGGTGGACAGTCAT